GTGACACGCAGCCTGGATGCAGCTCTACATAGTATGGGTTTAGGGTGTAGGGTTTGGGGTTTAGGGTTTGGGGTTTGGGGTTTAGGGTTTGGGGTTTAGGATTTAGGGAATCATATTCTCCGAATGATGCTCCCCTTCTCTTCATCAACATTCGATGTGCTACCTGCATACCCTAGGTCATTCAATCCGAAGCAAATGCCCAATCCCCAAACTCTAGACCCACAAACCCGCAACCCGTGACAGCAAGATCCAGGCCAGTCGAATTCCCGTGATCATGTTGGCCGGCTCGATTGTGGCTCCAATCCTAGGATTCAGTCTGAGGTTCAGGATTCAAATCTTTGCTGTTTTGAGGCTTAGGGTTTAGGGTTTAAGGTTTAGGGTGTAGGGTTTAGGGTTAAAAGTCCCGAAAAGCCTGAACCGAGATTCGCTTCTAATTCGGGGAATGTGGTTCGAACCCGAAGCTCCACAACATGAGATCCCCAGAATACATGGAAACAAGGCACCCTCATCTAGACCTTAAATAATAAGCAATCGAATCCACATTGTGAGGACCCGCAACATACAGCAACCCCATCCCCACATGGCAACCTCCACGGTGGAAGACGCTGACTCCTAAACCCCAAGCCCTGAAGCCTAAACCCCTGAACCCTAAACTCTAAACCCCTCAACCCCTAAGCCCTGAAGCCTAAACCCCTGAACCCTAAACTCTAAACCCCTCAACCCCTAAGCCCTGAAGCCTAAACCCCTGAACCCTAAACTCTAAACCCCTCAACCCCTAAGCCCTGAACCCTAAACCCCTGAACCCTAAACTCTGAACCCCTCAACCCCTAAGCCCTGAACCCGAAACGCCTGAACCCTAAACTCTAAACCCCTAAACCCCTAAGCCCTGAACCCTAAACTCCTAAACCCCTCAGCCCCCTAAACCCCCAAAACCCCGAACCGCAGGCTCACGATCTCCCCTTCTAGGCGCTCGAAGCGCTTGAAGAGTGCATTCAATTTAGGGCTTAGGGTTCAGGGCTTAGGGTTTAGGGTTTAGGGCTTAGGGTTTAGGGCTTAGGGTTTAGGGTTTAGGGCTTAGGGTTTAGGGTTTAGGGCTTAGGATTTAGGGTTTAGGGTTTAGGGTTTCAGAGTGTATGTCTCTATGATGGAACAGGATTCTGCATGGGCTCTACTGTAATGTATGGGCCTTAAGCCTTCGAACAGATTTGTGCCCGAATCTCAGTGCTAATCACCCTCGTATGAGACACTGCTAGTACTACTGTTGATGGTATAAATCCTGCACTACCCATAGTAAGGAGTATACCATAATTCCCATAGTTTAGGGTCCTTAAGGTAATGCAGGATTTATATCATCAACCGTACTGGTGTCTTTGCACTTGTGTCTTAGGGCATGTGGCCCCTGGTGCGGAGATACGCAGCCATGTTACGACCGATCCTCAGCTAAGGCTCTTTGTAAGCGAGTGCTAGCAGGGACTGCTATGTTGATCATCATGCTGACAACAAGTGGGAGTTTCCGAAAATAGGGGACCCCAATATAGCACCCTAGATAGTAGGATCCTCATTATATGGACCCCAGAATAAGGTATCCCCAATTATCGGAAACTCCCAAATACTCATAACAAGAAGCTCATAACCGATGGCAGAAGTTAGAATACCCTCAACCCTAAACCCTAAACCCTGAACCCTCCAAGCATGCATGATGCACGAAGCCAGAAGCTCGAATCTGGACTAGGCTTCTGGTGGGTGCCCATTATACTGTGTTTAGGGTTTAGGGTTTAGGGTTATACAATAAGGAACCCCAAAAATAGCATAGGCAATTATTGCGACCCCTATACTATTCACGATTTCAGCCGTACCTCCCGGCAGTTACGAAGCGCACGCACCGTACTCTGAAGCAACACCTTCACCCTAAACCCCGAAACCTCTAAACCCCTAAACCCCTAAACCACTAAACCCCTGAACCCCTAAACCCTAAACACATCTTGCGCTTTTTCTTCGTAAATCTGGTGAAAGTGTTCCCCTCGTCCTGCAGGCCCTGGCAGCCGCTGAACAATTCATAGTTACTAGACCCAAGAGTAACCTAGGAATAAAAAGGGTGCCCTTGTTGGCTTAAAGGGGCTTATAAGGGAACCTGAACCCTGAAAAAGGGAATAAGGGCCTACTCTAGGTCCATAGTTACCAATACTATTTTTTGGGGGCTTCCTTATTATCATTATAGTATAATGGCCCCCAAAACTTTTTAGAATTTTTTGAGGTTTTCTGAGGGGTTCCTTATTATCACTATAGTATAATGGCCCCCAACTTTTTTAGAATTTTTTGAGGGCCCTTATACTAATTGCGACGGTGGCGATGACGACGGCGAAAGCCGCGGCTTCATGTCCAAGAGCTCAGAAGGGATCGCCATGAGCATGTTGGTGACTTAGGGGTTTAGGGATTGGGGTTTAGGGTTTGGGGTTTAGGGTTTAGGGATATTTAGGGTTTAGGGATATTTAGGGTTTAGGGTTTAGGGGTTTAGGGTTTAGGGTTTAGGGATTTAGGGTTTAGGGTTTGGGGTTTGGGGTTGCCGTTTGCTACTCTTGCTGATGCCATTGCCGTTCTCAGTCTAGTTGGTTTCTTTGTTCTTTCTTTATCTTTCTTTGACCCCTGCACTAGCAATTTTGTTAACTGCTCCAAGCACTCTGCTGGCACAATATCTTTTTCTAGGGCCATTCTAAGGTTGGGGGTTCAGGGTCTATAGGGTTTCTGGTGGTCACTCTCAACTACTGCGGCGCGGCCCCGCATCACAGGACGAGGGCTTCGCAGAGCATCTTCTAAACAGAGACTTCGAGATCCCTCTATGCGGCACAGTGAACGCAACACCCGAAGAACGACGTGCGCACACTAAACCCTAAACCCTAAGCCCTAAACCCTAAACCCCTAAACCGTAAACCCTGAAGCCTAACCTAAGCCGATGCTTGGCCAACGGGCTCTGAAATCTCTGAGCACTCCACAGACTGGAGTTGTGCTTGGGGCTGCGGCTCTGATTGATCAGAATGACTTGGGTCGGCCTGGGTGTCGCCAAATACCTGGCCTTAAGTACTTAAAGGATCAGGGCACTTAGTAAGTAGGGTTATAAGTAAGGTAACTATAGTTATATCTACTTATAACCCTAATTCAGGTACTTATAACCCTACTTACTAAGTCCCATGATCCTCTAAGTAGGGCCATAGACATGCCTGAAGTTACCTTCCTTATTCTCCCACTTACTAAGTCCCCTGACCCTCTGAGTACACGAGAGTCCGAAATCGAAAATCGAGCAGTTCTTTGTTATGCCTCTTCCTCTCGACCCACCCTAAACCCTAAACCCTAAAACCCTAAACCCAGGTAAGCCCCTAAACCTTAAACCCAGGTAAGTCTGAGCCTGGTGTTCGAACCAGAAGGCCCCCCGAACCCGGGACCGAAATTTCTAACACCCCTCGGGCCCGAAACCCGAAATAACACCCCCAAACCCGAAGACCTTTCCGAAATCCCTGAAACTCCCAAGCCGAAGCGAAATGTCCGGCAGGCCGAACCAGGCTGTACTACATGACTACATGCATCACCACGCCGTGCCTTGAGGGCTGTTGCTGAAGGAATCATCTTGATCAGGGCTTATTCTGGAACCATGACGAAACAAAGATATCAATACCAATACCAATACCTCCATAAGCCCAATCCGTATCGTGTCCGTTCTCCTGGCCATGACCGCTACTCGGGAAGCAAACCGGCTTGACGAAACCGTGCACGAACTTGTTCACGACACTTCTGGCTAGTCTCCTCTCTTCGCGATCATCATCATCGTTGTCCACGCCACATGTCAGAAGATCACCCTTATCTTCATCATCATCAACATCGCCATCACGACTTCCGTAGTTATCGCAATAACAGCCGCCCGCGTATGGTTGTAGTGTCCGCTGTCACGGTTAGAAGAAATACAGGGGCCTTAATAGTCAGAATAAGACTTTGGGGCCCATTATACTATACTTTTCAATAGGGAACCACCAAAATAGTATTGGTAATTATTTAGGCCCCTATAGTAGGCAGTAAGCCGAAGAGGCGCAAATAATGCAAATTCATAGAATTGGGAGTTTCCGAAAATTGGGGGGTACCGTAGTTTTGGGGTCCTTATAACAGGGATCCTACCATCTAGGGTGCTATATTAGGGTCCCCTATTTTCGGAAGCTCCCACATAGAAATAGTAAAGCATTGCAAGCTACGTAGCAGGATGGGACTATGCAGCTGTGCGCTGTATCACAGAAGCTCGCAGCAACAGCGATCGCCACAGCTGAATTTGAGAGGCCATAGCCTGAAATATGACCTGCATCAAAGGTGTGCAATGAAGTTCTCTGAACTCGCAGAGCACCAGAGGGCAAAAACACTGCCAGCCTTCCCACGGAGCTCGGTAAGCTTACGGCGTAGGGCTTACAGTTTAAACCCTGTATAAACCACGAGGATCTATATAGCCCGACGACAGTCCACATAGGCTGTATGGCTTCAGCTCGCTAGGCAAGACTGGCTGAGACGGTCGGGCTCTCGCGTCGTCAGCCGGTGCGCATGGTGTACGACTTGTCCAGCAGCGGATTAGGGATGAGCGTTCAGCCGATCAGAAGAATAGTTTATGGTTTGGAGTGTAGTTTTGCTAGTTTAACTTGGGAGTTGGGCCCGTGCCCGGACTCCGAGTGTAATTTTACTGTTGCTAGAGCTGCTCGGCATTGTTGTTCCCTTGAGTTGCAACTCGACACATGTCCCATGTCCCACCAGCCTCGAGCAACCAGCATGCTAGCTAGCTGTGAACAAGGGCCGTCAGTTCCTCTGAAACTTAGGCAAGCCACATGAGGCTTTGCGGCTTTGAAAAATCCGGACCATAATATCGGGGCCTCAATCATTGGAATAGGGTTTTGGGGCCCACTGTACTACAGTTATTAATCGGAATCCCCCAATTAGTATAGGTAATTATTAAGGCCCCTACATAAAAGCCCGAGTCACAAGAAGAAAACGATCGAGCCATCAGGCCTTTCCTTGCACAAAACCTGAGACCCCGAACCCTCTGCATTCACACGATCGGGTGGTTGATGAGGACGTCCGAACAGGCTGCGCTGGTCTCCTGCCATCTGCATGGAGGAGCTCCAGTCGCTGAGATCGGTCTCTGCGCCGTTTGAAGCTCGCCCACACCTCGAGGAGGAACCACTGCTATCCTGGGTTCTGTTAGCGGCTCTAACTTAAGTAACAATACTAAGGAAACCATATTATTTACTATACATCCCTACGATGGTATCTTAAACTAAACTCCTATACAAGCACCCAGTATCATCTCGCTTCTCCGAATACACCGTTTGCATCTCTGGGACAGCGTACGCACTGGCAGAGGGCACACGCCTCCTGTCCGCTTCCACTGCTCTCATGTCTTCCGTCTTTAGGGTTTAAGGTTTAGGTCCTAAACCCTAAACCTAAACCCTAAAGACAGAAAAGTTTAGGTTTCTCCTGTCCGCTTCCACTGCTCTCATGTATTCCGTCGCCTTTTCGAGTAGTTGCATGGTCACATGCATCTTGGCGGCCTCCAGAAGCGGGATGAAGGTAAGTACTACGGCTGATGATAAAAAACCTGCATTACCCATTCTAAGGATTTTTCCATAATTCCCATAGTTTAGGGTCCTTAAGGTAATGCAGGATTTTTATCATCAGCCGTAGGGACTCAGCAAGTAGGGCTATAGCTATGCTACCCTAGTCGGGATTAGAAGTAGGTATACCTATAGTTACATTACTTATAACCCTGGTGACTAAGTCCCATGATCCTCTAAGTAGACCCTTAACCCTTAACTATAGATCCTTTGAAGGAACCCTGCAGATCCCTTTAAGGAGCCCATTCAAGAACCCGACCTAGGACTAAAGATACCTCAGATGAGGACACTTATTAGGGTTTATCCCAGCTACCTTCATCCCGACCCTCTCCTAATCGCTGCCCTAAACCCTAAACTGTAAACCCGGAACCTCGGACCCTAAACCTTAAGCCCTGAACCGTCCTCCTTCAAGACAAAACATGTTTAACATGAGTTAAAAGATCAAATGAGATCATAATTGAATTATTTATGTATAGTTTTCATATTTTTTCAAGCCTATACCTTAGAACCGTCCCATGCATCTCGGCAGCCTCAAGTAAGCTGATGCGGCGTCCCTTTTGAAACACCCGGGGCGCATGTGGATTGTCCAGGTCCGCCATGCCTTGAAGCTGCTGAGTCCATAAGCCCCAAGAAATTTACATCTTCAGGTGGGCGGTTGTCAAAATTATCGTTCCTTTTTGGGTACCCTAAATAAATAATAGGTGCCGTAATATAATAGGGACCCAAGAAGAAATCCTAATTTTGACAACCACCCAGGATAAGGGATGAGGGTTTAGGGGGTAATGTAGGAACCTGATTAAGAAACCCTGGGCCTATAAACCCAAAAGCAGGGTTCATGTAAGGAGCCCTAATAAAAGGCCCAAGGTTTCTTAATTAGGCTCCTACATTAGACGATTTAGGGTTTAGGGATGAGGGTTTAGGGGGTAGTATGATCCCAAGAAGTGCAAAGTGTACGCACTCAGCTGCGGAGATGCCGTTCCTGGCAATAAAGTACGCCAGATTCAGGTCAACGCCCTGCACGTCAGCTTGCGAGACACGGATGTGGCTGCCCAAGCGAGGATCCATCGGCTGCGCATGACCCTGAAAGTATGCATACGCAGCTTCTGCTGTTCCTTACTACCCCAACAAGCCACAGAAATAAAAGGTTAAACTTTCCGATTCCTACTAAACTATAAGAGCCCAAAAAGCTTTAAGGGTTAATGTAGGAACCTGATTAAGAAACCCTGGCCCTATAACCCCCAAAATATGAGGATTCAGAAAAGGAACCCTAACAAAGCTCCTTAATCAGGTTCCTACATTAGAGGGCTTAGGGTTTAGGGTTAAGGGATGAGGGTTTTATAGGGCTTCATAATATGATTTTAAGCAATGTTCCAATATTGAGGAGTACTGGGCTGTCTGGAAAACTGATGAAACTAGAAGAGCCCAAAAAATTTAAAGGCTAGGTATTAGGGATCTGAGGTTCGATGATCTGTGAAGTTCACGAAAGCCAGGGCCACATTCCTCGCCTTGACCTTGTCGCGCGGGACATACACGAAGTCATATCCGCATGGATAGAACTGGTTCAGGATCTCCAGAAAACCTTGGCTGACTTCTGAACCCCTCCTAAACGTTAATTTTTAGCCTCCTTATTAAAGTTCATATAGAAACCCAAAAGCCTAGTTCATGGTCGGGATCGGATTGAAAAAGGCGCATGTTTATTCCTTATTGGGTTTAAGTACCCATAAACATGTAAAGCGTTACACAACTATGACAAAAAAGTTACATGTCTAGCTCCCTCCTTATTCTAGTTCATATCGAAACCCAACAAGTTAAAGCCCTCAGAGCCAACCCGGAGAACGCCAAGAAGCCTTCAGCCGTTAGCTTCAAGGGCACGCGCCTCAGCATGATGGACGTAGCTCCAGGGGTAAGACGATGTCCATGAGACTCCGCCGGGTCGCAGGGCATGTTATCATGAAAACCCTAAACCCTAAACCCATGTTCCCAAAGATCCCAATTACCCCCTTAATTAAGGATGAGACCTTAAAACAACGGGGGCTTGATATTATGATTTAAGGCATATTCCTTAATTAGTGCAAGAAAAGGCTGCTCACTTGCTAGGTCGTCTGCTTAAGCAACGTGGTCTGCTAAGCTCGCCCCTCATCTTTGCTCACTTGGAAGTGCTGTGAACGGTCCTTGCCCACGGACTTGAGCCGATCCAAACAAAGCCACGCAGGGTTTCTCCAAGGCATTGGGAGCCAAGTTGAACACACATAGGGGCCTAAATAATTACCAAGACTATTTTGGGGGGGCTTCTGATTATAATTACAGTACAGTCGGCCCAAAACCCAATTCTACTTATTAAGGCCCCCATAGTACGGCTCCGCGCTAATGCAGTCACAATTAGCATTGCCATCAAAGCCAGCAGCATGAACAACAAACACAAGCATCAGAATACTCAGCAACAACAAGGGCAACGACGCTGGGGACAACGATAAGAAGAATAAGCAGAACAAGAATGGAATCATGAGACCAAGAACAAGAAGGACAACTGTAACATGAAGAACAAGAAGACGCATTCAGAGCAATGCCAAGATGCAGAACACACCCAGCAACTAGCCAGGCAGGGTAACCCGACACTTGGGCGAGGAGCATGCCAAGCACGAGGTTGTTCCAGTACTCATCAACCTGTCACAAAGTCACAAAGTGCTTCGGAGTTCCGGGGGAGCGCACTTGGAGGCCTGTGCAGGAGGGAGAGGAAGAGAGGGAGAGGTTTTGGGGTTTAAGATTTAGGGTTCTGTGGTTTCAGGGTTGGGAGACACACGAACAGACACACAGTCAGACAGACAAAGAGACAGAGAGAGAGAGAGAAGACAGGGAAGAGAAAGAAGAGAAGGAAGAGAAGGAAGAGAGAGAAGAGAGAGAAGAGAGAGAAGAGAGAGAAGAGAGAGAAGCGAGAGAAGAGAGAGAAGGGAGAGAAGAGAGAGAGCAGAGAGGGAAGAGAGAGTCGAGAGAGAAGAGAGATAAGAGAGAGAGAAGAGAGAGAAGAGAAGGAAGAGAGAGAAGAGAGAGAAGAGAGACAAGAGAGAGAAGAGAGATAAGAGAGAGAGAAGAGAGAGAAGGGAGAGAAGAGAGAGAAGGGAGAGAAGAGAGGGAGAAGAGAGAGAGAGAGAGAGAGAGGCAGAGGCAGAGACGCAGAGGCAGAGACGCAGAGGCAGAGGCAGAGACACAGAGGCAGAGACACAGAGAGCCAGAGAGACAGAGAGACAGAGAGACAGAGAGACATAGAGACAGAGAGACAGAGAGACAGAGACTGCGAGTGTTTCTGTGTTTCTGTGTTTCTGTGTTCGTGTGTTTGTGTGTTTGTGTGTGTGACAGTGCGTCCCCTACACGATCCCCCCACCTGTCCACCGCCCACGTTGGGCTTGAGCTGGAACCTCGGTCTGATCCGAGAGCCCTGATACAACTAGAACAGGGTTCCTTTAAAAGGGGGTCTCTAAGAGTCTATAAGAGCTACTAAAAGTGCAACTCTAAGGGTTCAATATGTGGGTCTTGGTAGATTATGCGAGAGTTTTGTATAAGGAGCCCCAAGATGGTCTTGGTACTTATTTCAGCCCCCACGTTAAGACCTAAACCTTTTGTAAGATCGGGCTTCTAAGACCTTGGGGCTGCGAATTGGTGGTTGAGGATCCAAAGACGACGATGATGACTGCGACGATGACTGCGCCGACGACGACTGCGACTACTGCTACTACTACCACCACTACTCCTGCTGCTGCTGCTACTACTACTGCTGCTGCTACTACTACTACTACTACCACCACCACGACTACTACTACTACTACTACTACTACTACTACTACTACTACTACTACTACTACTACTACTACTACTACTACTACTACTACTACTACTACTGCCGAAGTAACACTACCTACACTACCCCTATGCAAGCTGTTTCTCTGCATCTTTGCGCTTCATTGCTGCTGCTATCGTCACAAGGGACGGCACCAGTACCAGAATTGTAGGTACCCTAAACCCTAAACCCTAAGCAGTTCTTTTTGGCAAAGGCTTGTCTGGACCCCTGCGCCGCAAAGCCCCGAAGCCGGCAACGTAAAATTGACTGAGGCCAGCCACTGGAAGTGCCCTCCATTCGCGTTCATCTTGTCCTGCACCAATATGGGAGTTTCCGAAAATGGGGGACCCTAGTATAGTACCCCCTAAATGATAGGCTCCCTATTATAAGCACCCCCAAATAAGGTACCCCCAATTTTCGGAAACCCCCATATTCTATGGAGGAGTCAAGCGGGTGCGGGATGAAACTTCTGGCTCCTGGATTCTGAAACTGTCACGTGGTCATTGAGGCTTGGGGTCAGAGCTCAGCCCTGGTGTCTAACATCTGGATCTCAGAGAATGCGAATGAGGGTAAACAGTCTAAGCATGAGTTTGATAATGTAGGAACCTGATCAAGCAACCCTGGGCCTATAGCCCCAAAATAGTAGGATTCATGTAAGGAACTCTCATACAGGTCCCAGGTTTCTTAATCAGGTTCCCACATTAGTTGAGGGGGTATGGTCAATGGCGTAAGAGGGACGCCTTACATGGATTCTAATCCGACTGATCATCACCTGGCTTGATTGACTTAGCGTCCGCCTCTATGCGGAGGGTCAAAAGGCCTGCAAATCTCACACACACCAACACAGTTTTCCGGAAGTCACCGGAAAAGCTTCACAAGAAAGCAAGTGGGAAATGCCAAAACCGCCACCTTCCTGTCAAAAAATGTGTAACCCACACTTCCTCCCACTCCGGGCGGATGTTCTCACGGAAGATCATGATAGCATCCTCGGCTTATCGAGCTGCTTCACCCTAAACCCTTAACCCGAAGCCCTAAAACCAAAACCCAAACCCCTACTATAGATCCCTTCAGGGAACCTTTATAGATCCCTTTAAAGGAACCCTTATAGATCCCTTTAAAGGAACCCTTTAAGGATCCCCTTGAAAGGGGGGATTGGAGCTTCAGCCCGGAACCTGCTACCGCAGAAGTTCCCCAGGTGCAATAGTACTTGGAGGCTCATGGGACTTAGTAAGTAAGGTTATAAGTAGGTTGGAATTAGGATATCCCCACTTAGGGGACTTATAACCCCCACTTATAACCAACTTACTAAGTCCCATGATCCTCTAAGTAAGGTTCCTTCGGAGCTCCGGGTGGTGGTGGTGTTAGTGGCCGTGGCAGTCGTCGTAGCACTGCTCGATGTAGTCGAGTTCTTTTCGTGCTTGTGGTCGTCGAAGTAGAAGTAGACATAGCAGTAGCAACAGCAGCAGCAGCCGTAGAAGTAGCAGTAGAAGTAGCAGTAGCAGCAGCAGCAGCAACAGGAGTAGCAGCAGTAGTGGCAGAAGTGGTAATAGTGGTAGCCGTGGCGGTAGCAAGAGTACCCACAGCAACAGCAGCAGTTGTATCAGGTTTGTCGCTGATGATGATTAGGCTGCTGCTGCTGTAGTTGCAGTTGTTCTTGCCGTTGCCGTTGCAGTAGCCGTCGATGCTGGCTTCGCTGTTTCTGTTTCTGTAGAGGTTGCCGTTGCTGTGGCTGTTGCTGTCGTTGCTGCTGCTATTGTTGTTGCTGCTGTCAAAGCTGTTGGTGTTGCTGCTGTTGCTGTTTCTGTTGGTGATTCGAACATCTGCAGGTAGCCTGTGTCTAGAACAGACCCACACAGACCCCATGCTCTGCCACTAAACCCAAAACCCTTAACCCTAAACCAAACCCAAACCCCTAAACCCTTCTGCAGCAGCGGTGCGATCACGTGGAGGCCGTCCGGCTGTTCACGCACCATGCGCTTCTGGCCGAACGGGAGAGGAGCAACAGTGAGAGGCTTCCCGTAATCTGTCAGTCTGATATGGTTTGGAAAAACAAGGGTTGAAGTTTTTCGATTTCGGGTGTAGGATTGAAATCTTCTTCTCTGGAGGGGGCTCCTTTTCCGACAAATCCGCGAGGAGCTTAGAGGGTTTAGGGTTTAGGGCCCTTCGGGCCTTTGCGTAGCAGCCCCGCAACTTCCATGCTCTGCCGGACTTGGGGCTTGGGGCTTAAGGCTTAAGTTAGGGCTTTATGCTAAGGGTTTAGGGCTTAGGGGTTTAGGGCTTAGGGGTTTAGGGGTTTAGAGGTTTAGGGGTTTAGGGGTTCAGGACTTAGGGATTTAAAGGTTTAGAAGGTTTGGGGTTTAGGGGTTTATTGCTTAGGGCTTTGGGCGTAGGGTTTAACATTTAGGGCTGAGGGCTTCCCTCAGATCATCCATCGCCTCCACCACTGGCACCTAGAGTATCGTGGCACTTCAGAAGTAGGGGTATGAGCTGGGGCTTTAAGTGAATATGGCTATAGTTAGCGACCCGAAAAGCACAGAAGCATACGCATTTTATAGGGATATCCCTACTTTGTGGGGCTTCGGGGTTTATATGGGATGTCCCTAACCTTGTTTTTGCTTATGTGCTTTTTTGGGGCTCCATATAGTTCCCTTCCTTACAACCCTGCTTGCTAAGTCCCCCGGTCCTGCCAGTAAACTAGGCTGTCTGGCTCTTAGTAGGGAATGGGGGAATGGGCTATGGAGACCATTTTTGGGGATTATATAGGGACCACTATGGGGATCCTTTCCCCCGTTCCCTACGAAGCACCAGGCTGTAGACACTAAATCCTAAACCCCTATAGATCCCTTATAGTACCCTTATAGTAACCCTTCAACGGAACCCTAAGGTAGACCCTAACCCTATAGCTCCCTTATAGATCCCTTAAAGGAACCCATGAGGACAAAAACCCCTCGCAAGGAGAAGAAGGCTCCCAAGGCCCCTATGTGTTGAAGCCTTCGAGCCCTTTAGGGTTTAGGGTTCCGCAACCGGAAAAACAAGTAAATACCGATCATAT